GACCAAAATAATGACAAAACAATGATATCAACAAAGGAAAAGAACCAAGAGAAACTAGAATTAAACTCCACTGAAACATCTAAGAAAATATAAGAGAAGAGGGTTTCAAAAGAAAACTCTAGAATTGTTGGAGCTGAATTCAAGAGTGTCCCATTCGCTAATTAGTGGGGAGGTTGGTTAGATCTTCATCACCTCAATCTTGGTGTCATCTAGTTCACTCCACTCAATACTCAATGCCTAAGATAGCTGATTCAAGGGGTACCAAAAGCACACTTCTTGGCATTGATTTGTGATTACTTATTGAGTAACTCAAATACTTAATATAAGTGTTGATCTGGGCTTATTAGTTTTAGTTATATATTAATATATCATCAAAAAATACTAAGATGAATTTTCTCAAAAATGGGTAAAAAAGCTCTATGCATCAAGGCCTAAAATATTGCCATAACTTTTTAAGGACAAAGTATGATACCAAAAATTCATAGTGTTTATCATGCATCCTACATGTTGTTTTGTGAACATCTTTGTGGATCATGTGGATCTAATGACATCTAGACCTTAAGTCAAGCTTGGAAGAAATAGTTGCTTAGTGAAGCTAATCCAAGAGTTCCTTAACTATGGAAATTGAAAATTAGTATGGAAATGGTGAATAAAAATATTAACTGCTATCTTTTTCTTGACCAAGAGGACAAGGCTAGCAAAAGAATTATTATAGGGTTGTATTATTTAAAATTTAAGCATCTCTCTTAATAATTTTTTTACCTCATCTTTCTAGAAATGTGAATAATGGTAGGGATGTGTTAACTAGACATGTACTATGTTCTAATGCGATGTTGTGGTAGTCTCATGCATGTTGCAAAAATACTTGAAAATTTTGCTCAATAATTAGGTCCAATCCATTGATTTGTGTTCCATATCTATGACGATCCAATAAAATTTTACCATAACTTATTGTCTTGGCTAATATTTATAGAGGATGGATTTAAGTGACACTCCTAACTTAATAATTGTGAGTCTTTTCTAAGGGTCATTGCTGCACCACACACTAAAAATTTCATAATGAAATTTTTTTGATCTATCATCATTCTATCCAAATTTTGAACCACTACATTTCTAAAATAATGTAAGTATTCTTAAGCTACAAGGGTAAAGAACCTTCCTTCACCATTAATTCTTACTTTTCTAAGACCAGCATTTGAGAACTGTTGCACCCCTAACCATTACACCATCACCTAATATGATGTTATAGTTCATAGTTGTGGTTAGAAGTAACTTGAGTTCATTTACTAGTTCTTGGTGATATGATATTGTCAACTTTTTATTGATAAATTTTTCCTTTAGCTTCATCATCCCTAGCATTATCAACCCAATAATAGAATTGAGGGAAATCTCAATGTTAGGTTTTCTTGTCTCACCTTGTGTCTTGAGTTGCATTATTTACTTGCAATTGCTTTTGCTCATTCAAACCAACTTCTTCTTCATAGACTAAAATTAATTTCTACTATTTTTTACATACCAGGTCAAGTTAGAATTACTCATCACATGAGAAATATAAGTTTTTAACCCATCATTCTTACAATTCTGCTTCTATCAATACCAATCACCATCTAATATTGTTTGGACCTTAGTTTATTTATGTCCCTCTTGAAGATGCAGCACAAGCATTTCAACTACTGAGCTTGTGTTATAAGATGATTCCTTCAACTCCTTTTGTATATCTTTAAAGTCAAACCATTCATAAGGTTGATTCTTCATTATCCTCATGTCACTCAATATTGGCTTTGTATTGATGACCACATTCTTTTCCTCTATGGCCTGCACCATATCTATGCTATTGTTAAGGCCTTATGGCTTAAATAATTTAACTTATGTTCAAATTTCAGAATTCAACCCTTTAACAAAGGTTCTTTCCACCACTTCACTCAATAACCCTTAGATTGCATTGTATAAATATTTAAATTTCCTCATATACTTTGTCACTATATTAGTAATCTCTTTGACAAGAGAGTTAGCCCTTCTTTCAATTCTCTGATATCCTTATCTAGGCCTTTGAACTTTCCATCATTTACCCTCAACATCATAACTCTGATACCGAGTTGGTATAATAGTTGGGGACGAATTTGATAGTGTCATATTCTCCTATTGTGTTTCTCCCAAAAGGTTAGCAAATGAAATATTTATTCACACTTTACACAACATATTATAACATTTATCTTCAAATATACTAGAAATAGTAAAGTGTTAATTATCTTGTACTTATTTTAAACATGGCTCCATGATTTCTTATTACCTATGTCTTCTAGTTTATCACAATAACATTTATAAACATCATTTTGATTTGTATGTTGTTGTACATGGGGGCCACATCATGTAGTTAATCACTTGAGTTTTTTTTTTTCATTATTATTGATGATTCTATTATATTCATATAAGCTTTTCTTATGAACAACAAGTCAAATGCTAAAACATGTCCCATTTTTTTTAATATGGCACACGCTCAACTTGATTGTAAGTTCAAAAAATTCAAGTCTAGTAATACTAACTATAATTTACTAATTTCTTTAGTGAATAGAGTATTTTGCATCATTTTTCATGCGTTGATTAACCCCAACTATTTTGTAGTGAAATGTTAATATTAATATTTATTGAATTTGTTTAGAGTTGTATTTTTTCTAATCATGAATATCAATACAATTTTGAATGAATTATATACTTATAGTCACATTTCTTATCAAGAGACTTCTGTCTCCACCACACAAAAAACAAAACTTAAGAATTATTAAATAAAAAATCTAGTAATTATTCAAGTTTTAGAGTCGTAGATTTTATTTTCATTGACTTATAGGTGAAGATAGTTTTCTAGACATAATTATAGATTAGTCCTACTTATATTAGAGCAAGTATTTCTTCCAAGTAACAATTTAATATTTTAGCTATTTTGTCATCAACATCTCTTGTGATTTAAGCATCCCTACCCCTTTTCCTTATTGATGTAGACATTTACTCACTTTTGCAAACTATCATCTTATATCTAAGAATTCTATTGTAGTACTTTGCACCACATGTCACATGATAAAACTAGACAATTAAATCTCCTAACTAGTGTTCCATCTCACTAATTTCTCTCCATCACATAAATAATGAGTTATGACTTTCCTGAAATTATTAACCTCAAATTTATTGTCATGTAGTTACATTTTCAAAATGATGCAAGGTGATGAAAACTGAGTTATATGTTTTGAAAACAGAATTTTGTTTATCAATAAGAAAATATGTAATAGAATGTTAATGGATTTACAAAATAAAATATTGTTCTGAGGGATATATTGAATAATATAAAGCCTTACTAAAAGAGTTGACTCCCTCTAAACATATTCTCCTATTGCTAAATCTACAACTATCAAACTTATGTTGACACTTATACCCAATCATAACTGATATCTTATTTAATAGATGTCAATAATTCAAAGAGGTTTACATAAATCTACTTTTGAAATGTCAAAGTAAAAGGGATATTCTTACTCATATCACATTTACAGTATATAAGTTGAGTCAGTTTATGACTTAGCCTCAGCATCCTCACTTGCAAATAATACATAATCTACTTTGCTATTTCAAATCAACTATTGGTCATAGATTATTATTCCATACATCATCCTCTTTGTACATTAGGGCATTCTCCAATACCAATTGGGCTGCTCTCTTTGATTCTCACAAATCAGTCATAGAATTTTACATTTTTCTTGTAGACTCACACATCTTGTGGAAGACAAAGAAGTAATCAACAATATCCATGTCCTTTGGTAAATTTGAATATTGAATATGGGGAGAAACTACTGTTGTAACACAATTATTTCAAGGATTTCCTTTTCAGTAATTTATTTTGTGAGAATCAAGTTGTCATTCATATTGCTTTAAATTCATTCTTTCATAAACGTACAAAGCATATGAAGACTGATTGTCACTTTGTTTTAGAAAAGTTAGTAAAAAGATTTTTCTCTCAATTCATGTGGTGGATATCTTCACCAGATCTCTTTTAGTTAGTCATTTATTTCTTCTATTGTTCAAGATGACAATTAAAAATATTTATAATTCATCTTTAAAGAAAGTCTTGAGATTATCCAGACGTGAGGGAACATGAATGGAGAAATACACGTGTCGCCAACCCTCTGGTTCAAATATGAGACATTTTTTCATTGTGCTTTCCCTCTTCTCACTCTTCCTTGCTGCCGCTGGTCTCCTTCTATTCTTCCACCGTAACACTTGAGCAGGTTGGGAATCCTTTACATTGCGCGGCCGGCGGTAGAGGGTGCTGGTGGGAGGGCTTGGAGGGGGTTTGGCGACGAGCGAAAGAGAGACGCTGTGGATGCGGTGAGTTCTTCGAAAGCCGACGTCCTGAATTTTCTTTATATCAGGGCTCCGTCCACCTCTCTCTGAAGAGAGAGAGAGAGAGAGAGAGAGAGAGAGAGAGAGACACACACACACACACATCTCTCCACATGATCATCTTCTCTCTCTCTCTCTCTGACCCGTCCTTGTATCATCTCTCTTCATTCCCTTCCTTTCCTCCAGCCCCTCTCTCTCTCTCTCTCTCTCTCTCCCTGGACCCAGGGCACAGGGTTCGGCCCGGCCCTCCCTGTCGACACCTCTACACACGTCAGCTAATCTGTCTCCGACACCAGAACGCTAGATATTTTCCAACATAAGCAGCCGGCATGGGGGATTATAGGGTTAAATGAACTACGGCTGAGAACTCACCAAGTGAACTCTCGCTGTCGTAAGCAAGGGGCCACCACATTTTTCATCATTCGCCAAAGTCCACCATATTGAGTATAAAATATTTAGACTACTACGCCGAAGCATGGAACTCGGAGCTGATCCGCTGTCGCTCCTAAGAAAGTCATGATTTTTTTATATTTAATAATGAACAGGAAAAAAACCTTCAGAATCTTGATCGATCATAAAATACAGCTACGGAGCAGGAGAAACCTTCGGGAACTTCAGAAGTACCACCTGGGTCTGAGCTCCTCTTCTTCCTCGGTCATCTCCCTGTACTCGTACCACTCTCCGCCCACTTTGCCCACCGGGATCGGAGGCCTGACGAAGATCTCGACTGGCTTTGGGACCCACACTATGAAGTCCAAGTCGCCGGTCGTCTCCTCCAAGTCCACTCCGCCGGCAGCCGCGGCCGGCTCCACCGCCACCCACCCCAGACCCGATATGGCGATGTCGCAGGCCGGCCTGAACCAGAACAGTTAGCAGTTCAATTACCACAAAAACCCACCTCCGGGGGGAGGGGCGGGGTCAATGCGTTGACTTTACAGTTTGGTGGGTTGACTCGGAGCTTGGATGGAGGAGGAGAGAGAAAAATAGGATAGGAGGATAATATTTCGGTTAAAAAAACACTCATTTCGTGTACCTCTTGTCATCTTCAAATCTGATCTTCAGGTGCCGCTCCATTTGAAGACCTTCCCAGGCTTCGGCTCGTTCTCTCCCAGTGGGAGGGGTCAAGAGGGAGCCGAGCTCATTCTGGGTCAGCAGCAAGACAGTGAGACCGGGGAAATAAAGATAGGAGGAAGCCGGAGCTTCAATGGGTCACACGGAGGGAGGAGGTGGGCGGCGTAATTACAAGGTAAAAGTCGTCTGCTTCCGCTGTGGGGACCATGTGGACTTTCAACGACCGGGGCCCGTAGAAAGTCAAACGCGTCTGCGGAAGAGCCTGCAAAATAAGGAAGCTTCCCTTCGTCATCATATCTCCGGAGAGTAGGAAGTTTTTCAGGGTGAGAATGAGAGACCTTCAAGACGTCGACTCTGACAAGGCCTCCCCAGAAGAGGGAGAACCCGGTCAAACCACATCCTGCTTCTCCATGTCTCCCGTTACCCGATACTACCTGGATGAGAGAGAGAACGATGGGTGCACTGTGCATCTTAAGATTGCCGGAAACAGGAGAAGGAAGTTACAGGGAAAGTTTGGCCTCGCAGATGACTTTTAGGCGCAAGGAAAGGAAGATCTTCAGATTGAACAACTGCCGCCTGCCTATGGTGGAGATGCACCCCTGGCATGTCGAATATTTTCTATAGAGCAAAGGGAAAAAAAAAAAAAAAAAAACTGCCTAGTAATCATTGTATGCAATTGATCTGAACGCCAAAAAATAAATTATATAAATTATATTCGTTTGAAATGATTGAAAAGCACAAGAAAATATTATACCCCTCCTCCATGAAATGCTTGGATCTCAATAGGTCCTAGGGTTGTTCCAGGAACAGCGGACTGCACTGGCTTGTACTTCCGAGCTGCTGCAGCCACTGGATCTTTATACGACATCATCTCTACAGTCACCAAGTGGGTAAAGAGAGAATTCACTGGATCAAACCTTGGAGTTCTTCAGCAAAGGGTAAGATTGTGAAGAATATATGGGGAGTACAGAAGATAAATGAGGGCAAATATTTAAATGATATTATCTCGCAGAAAATGTGGTTTTTCAGTGACAAATAGACAGCCTCCGCCGCAGGAAAAGCTTTGAAGAGTTGCTGAACACTTACTAAGTGCTGCGTTGATGAATGCAGACTTTCCAACGTTTGCTGCTCCCTGAAAGAAAGTTTATTAGGGCATAAGAAAATGGTTATAATCATCTAATAATTGAAGTAAAAATTTCTACAGAAACAGTGACATGTTTGGGAAAACGTGATCGTCTGGTGGCTGCAATAACAGCCATATCTACTCTACCTTGAGGATATACTATTCAAGATGGGTAGGCCTATGAACACATACCAAGCTTAAGAATCATGATCTTGTTGTGTACTAGAGTGGCTCGGCTTAGGACAAGGAATAAAATGGAAAAAATGATAGTCCAGGTACAAAAGGAAGGATTCAACAGTTTATTATGGCGAGGTAATCCAATACAGTCACCGGTATTGAAGTTATTCTCTTTGTTTGCATCGTTCACTGTTCGTAGGCACAAAGCCAGTGCATTTGTTTTCTTCTTTAATTGCATGCTTAATCAATAGGAAGCATCAAATAATAGAGGAAATTTGACCCTTCCACTGAAACATGACGAGACTACCATTTTCTTCTTAAGTTACTACCATGCGATGTATTTCATTTATTTTCTTTTATAACATGATAAAATAAAGATCTGAGACCGATTGAAATTTTATAGATGACCATTTTTAATATGGGTTTTTTGCTTCTTTGTTGATAATGATGCTCAGAATATTGAAGCAACAATTACCCAGCCTTTTCATGAATATATATGGTCACTTGAAACTAAAATTAGTACTAATAATCTTTACAGACTCAGAGTAGGCGTTGAGCATATCATGATAGATGTGTCCGCTCTTGTAAAAGAGAAATACACTAACCAGAATGTAAACATCCCGTCCCTGCATAAGATAAAAGGAAACAGAGAAATGATCAGTAACTATCTTTTACCCATAAAATGCAGTGCAGTGAATAATAAATAGTAAGTGTTATGCTATTTTTGTTCTCATAATTTGTGTGCTTTTCGCAATACCACGCTGTCCATGATGGAAACATTTTAATAACATAGATTTGACAGGCATATCCTCACCTAGTTTTCTGAGGCTTGTAACAAGATGTGAACTACGTGTGGTATCTAAACACCATCTCATTAACTAACAGTCAAAAATTGATCCAAAATGTACATAAATAACTGCATGTTCATATTGTTTTCGAGAAAAACATCCTTGTTCCGTAAAGCTTGAAGCATTAGTTTCTTAGAAGTATTAATAATTCAAATTCTCTTCATCTCGATGTGAAAAATCAACGAATGAAAGATATGTTTGGAATACACGCTTTAAGGAATAAATACTTCATGAATTTCCCCTTGATGGAAGTATGATCAGTCCAAAACGCCGAGATGGATGCAGTGTTTGATTCCTCCAGCACCACTGTACTTGTAGGCCTTGAATGTGTGTCCTTATGATGAAGGATACACAATGGGATATTAGAACCTGGAAAATCTATCAGGAATTCTATGGAAAATCCATACCATTCTTCTACACCAATTTTCCAGGAATTTCCTCTTCACCGAGCTGGCAGTAGTCAGTGGAGCTATGATGAACTTGCTACAACGTTTATAGGCGCCAATAAAATGCAAATCTCAATATTCTAGAAGACAGGAATAATTCCACGCTAGTGGAAAAAAATCATGAGATGAGAAGTATTCATTTGTAAGGGAAACCACATGACTGCAAAGAGATGTTTTGCTGGGAAATCAGCCTGAGAATAATTATTAAAACGTACATATGTAACAATCTTGAATGCCACTCTTCCTACATAGCCCATAAGGTGTCATAGCATCACAAACCATATCTACCTACTCCTTTCGTTGTCCATTCTCTGTTCCATCACGAAGTCAGTCCCCAACTGGTAGTGTTCCTCCTTGAGAGTCGCAACGTCTCGAAATTTCTGTCCAAATCTGTCAAGGTATTCTCGGAAAAGGGGACCCCCCAATATCTTCCTCCTCATTGCAAAAACGCAAATTATTCTGACCCCCTCTATTATATTAAGGCGCCCAACTATAAGTCAGTAGCCTATAGCCTCCTGCTACGAAAAACCCAAAAGACTCAAAATGCACCATTGAGGCCCACAAATGTTCCATTGGCAAGCTCTATACGGGGAAGGAGGGCCTCACAGATTGAGTAGTAGAGGGAAATAGAGGTAACCTTCACAATGTACCATGGAAGGAAGCCATTGATGCTCAATTGTAAAATTTTAAAAATCGCGAGTAAATTCCTTTATCAAAGTCCATGCTTGAGGGATTAAAATAAAATGTGGGTCAGATATTTTCGTGTGATATGTAGAGAAGAAGATATAAAACAATCCTTCAAATCATCTCAATTGAGGCATACATATGTTCATTCCAATTAGAGACAATTATAGAAAAATAGATAAAAGTAAAGTAGTAGAACCTTTTTCTCCTTTTGGATCTCTGATATTACTCCAGCAATCCCCACCAAGGACTTTGAACTGGTCAAGTGGACGCTAATTACACTACACAGAAATGCAAGCTTAGTTCTTAATACTTTGTGAAAAATAGTTGTAAGTTAAAGTAGAAAAAAATCGCAATGCACCAAACGGTCAAGGTAGCATGAGAGACAAGATGCATAAGAATGTTGATGCATAAGATGGCTGACAATAGTAGGGCAATGTACGACAGATATCAATTCATCAGGACTTTTTAATTTAACGAGATATATTGGCTAAGCCATTGAATGTAAAATAATTTTAACATCTTTTCAAGAGATAGTACACCAAGCCCACAATTCACTAAAGCAGATTGTGAAGCTTTCTGTGTAGCATATTGTTTGACATTTGTGAAGTTTGTGTGTTCACATCTTAATTAATGATATGAATCTTACCTAACGTGTTATGAAATAAATGTCTTCGGCAATTTTCATGGTATAACACAAATGCGCATCACAACAAGTAGCAACCACAATAGCATTTTTTTAGTTGACGGCATAAAAATCCAAGAAGAAATGTAAACTGGACGTTCAATAAAAGGTGGGCCACCTCTATATCAGGAATATACTCACTTCAGTTTCTTCTTCACAGTCGCCTCCACAACCCAGTCACCAATACAATTTAGATCAGTTCCTTTTGGTAGGAGATCAACCTTGAGAGAGATGGAGTATGAAGATGAGTGATTCTAACTTAAGATCAACAAGATATATCTCTCAAGATGTCAAGAGTATGGTAGCAAAGATAGGGTATAACCTTTGTTACCACCAGTATTATTGGATTTGAGCCAACAAGGTCTCGTATGCGTCCGAGGAAACTTCCGTTGAAATCAATAATATCCACCTAGTACAAGTGTAATAAAAAAATAGTTAAAAAACAAGAAACCATATTTCAGTGTTACCATAAAGGAAAATAATAGAGGTGAAGGAACAGTAAAGAGTGAAGATAATCTGCCTGGCGCTACTCAGCATACTTCGACTACCAAGCATCAAAGACCCAAAATCCTAGAAGAAATATGCCATTGTTTCAATTACAACGCCTCTCTTTACATTTGTAAAGTAAGTAATTATTGACCAAGCCAAATAAATCGCATGCGAACTGAGCAGCCGCCTCTTAAACAAAAACTAATGGCCAAACTTTTACAGCACGGCATCCGCAGTATACTCCTTTTATCTAGATTTCAAAGTCAAATTCCCCAATTTCAAACTCATTCTTTAAAGTTTTGGTTATAAGGTTGATAATCAGGGAAGCCAATCACGCCGTGCTACCAGCTTACCAATTTAACGATCAAAGTCTTCTCATTTCGAAGATGAGACAATCTGTCACGAAGTTCCTCTGCTGTAACAAACTGTTTACCACCGGGATAGCCTCCCCTCCCGCCAACAGCTGTTATCATGTGTCCATGAGATAGAAGCTTGCACCTTCCGCAAATCACAGTCTTCAGTTGTCGGTGCCTCTTCTTCTGCATCCAGAGAGAACACAGTAAAATACTTACGTATGGAACTGGATTCAACAGATAATTTCCAGGATGGGGAACCTAACGTAAAATTTCGCAAAAAAACAGAAGTAGAATCTATGTGCCCAGCTTCATTGTGAAGCAGAAATCTCAAAGTTATTAGAAAGCAAATAGTGCCAGAAAAAAAACACACCACCTCAATCTGCATCAAGGTTTATTTATTTCTCACTTGGAACTGGTATGAAGTTCAATGCAACAGCCATGAACTTCAGTACCTCACTAAGCGTCGCCACTGCACCTCTCAGTTCTTAACGAATCTAAGCACCGGTCAATCCACACCAGCAGCAGGATTTACCAATTCATAGGTGTCGGGATCAACGTAGCCAGGGGCATCAGCCTCAGTTATTTGAAGCGGAGAACCGCATCCGTAGCAGCACGTAACAGACGTCGAGAGCTTGGCGCCTCCATCAGGCTTCTTCCTTGTCCTTTTCGCCTCTTTCTTCAGCACGAGCTCGGCGGCCGATTTCGCCTGCTGCCTCTCGAGATACCTGTCCCCGCGCGTCGGCGATGCGGCGCCTCTTCCCTCCGGCTCAACGTCTGGAGGTAGCGGAGAAGACGGCGACGAGGTCCGAAAGTCCGCGGCCCTGCACGAGACAGGCACCGCCTCACGGCGCAAAGGTGCGGCTCTCTTGAAGAGCAGGAAACCAGGACTCTTAGGACTGGGGAATGCCGGAGGGAAGGGGACGAGGGGATGGGAGAGGAGGAGGGACTGAGCTCCGATCACCATGGATGGCAGTTGCTCGCTGAACTCCGGCGGCCCCCGGCGGGAAGGAGAAACGAGTTTGTAAGAAAATTGCGTAAGGATAGAAGATGAGCGCGCTCTTATACATATCGATGCGCTCTTGAAACGATCAGATCAAACTCCGCCCGTTCGATCACAAACAGGCCATACTAACCGTCCGATTAGAAGAAGAGGTTGGTTCTGTTGTGGCCAGTGGAGGAGGAAGAAGATAGAGCAGAGCGGCCATGGCGGCGACGGGCTTCCTTCTTCCCGCGCTTTCCGAGCAGCGGATTTTCAAGCGTCATTGTGCTCCGGTCTCCTGGTGCGGCCATCGGAATCTCCGGCGATCCTTCGAACCTCCGGTAGCGGCGACAGCGTTCCTTCTTCCCTCGTTTTCCGAGCCGCGGATTTTCAAGCCTCATCGTCCTCCGGTCTCCTGGTGCGGCTGTCTGAATCTCCGGCGATCCTTCGGGCCTCCGGCGGCGGCACTGCCGGCCAGCTCGGGGCAATCTCTCCTGCTCGCCAAGGCCGACTTGCTGGATCTGATATCGGACCAGGAGCGAGGAGTTCTGACGGAGGGAAACCCGGCGAGACGGTCGGAGATCGTCCGCGCCGTCGAGGCGCTGTCCGTCTACGGGAAGGATATGACCACCTCTGGTCCCTCTCTCTCTGGTACATGGAGGATGCTGTGGACCACGGAGAAGGAGCAACTCTTCATCATAAAAAATGCGTACCTCTTCGGCACCAAGACCGGCGACGTGCTTCAGGTCATCGACATGGAGAAGGGGCTACTCAACAACGTGATCACATTCCCGCCGTCGGGAGTCTTTTTCGTGAGGTCGACCTGCCAGGCGGCGTCTGCGCAGAGAGTGAACTTCAGGTGAATGATCGGTTCGTCAGCTTTCCCGGTGTCCTGCTTTCGATCTGTCTGTCATTCACGAAGCTGTTCATCTTCGGTGGCAGGTTCACAAGTGCAGTTCTACGAGGTGACGGTTGGCAGATTCCGCTGCCCCCTTTTGGACAGGGTTGGTGAGTACTCCTTCCGGTCGAAACAAAAATCGATCAGCATGACAAACCATTTCTACTGATTTTTTCTCTCTAGGCCTGTCCTTTCAATCCCTTAGTAGCTGAGAACGGCATTGCCGTGATTGAGAAAACCGTCATCAAGTTTTCTGTGATTCAAATATCATAAGATATGCTTCAGCATTCCCCAATACCATTGTTTTTGATTTGCATGCGAAAACTTTTTCTCTGAGATCCAAGCGTCATCAATCACGGCAAGTTGGGATACATCCTTGATCCTGTACATCTGAATCAGACAGAAATAACTCAAAAGGACGAAGAACTGCCTTGAAAAACCTTCAGATGGTTCATGATCTTGCTCATCGTCTGGTCCATCAGTTCTGAAATGTGGGACTACCTGGGGGTCATGTTCATGGCTGATGTAGATGGGACCAGTCAGCAAGAAGAGAAGGCCCGTTCTGAGAAGGGCGCAGAGGGTGCCCATTGCAAGTGAAAGGGGCATTTCATCTGCAGCGTTTATTGCAAATGATGTGGGACTGCATCTGCCTCATGAATTATCCATATCCATGGCTAGAACTGGGTGAATCCTGGAAAATGTCTCCTCACCCGGCAGGAAATCATCTCTCAGAAGTGTTCACCTGGTTCGGATCGGTCAATGCGAGGTAGATAATGGACCATGGAAATACCGAGCTGCTTCATCTTTCAGCAAACAATCCATATAGTTTGCGCATATCATCAGCGAACGAGCTAAAAAGTGAGGAGAATTGTGGGTTTTACCGCAGAAGTCATGGCTAATATGCTCCCTATGGAAAATTTCATATCCTAGGCACCAATGATCAATTAATCTTTTATTTCTTGCCCAGGAAAAAAATGGTGGGTCAACGGATGAAGGGAGCTGTTCTTCACATGCCAAGATGTGATGAATCTCCCTTCATCTGACTTTTTCCCTCTCCATGATTCATCCTCTGTATTATTGTCCAACATTTGCCTCTTTTTCCGTTGAATTCCCCATCACTTGTGTGAAGTATTCAAAGATGGACTCCTGATTTCTCCGCAGGTTCGAATCAGTCTACCTTGATGAAGATATTCGAGTTGCAAAGGACATTCGAGGAGATTATTTGGTCGTTGACAGGGCGCCCTACACGTGGACAGAATGAGGAAGACCGCAACTAGTCAACGTGACGCACTGCCGGAATACATCTGTTCTTGCCGCCGTGAGGTGCATCCCCAGCCTTCTGTAATGTACATATTTGGCCAATGATTAAAGGTCTATTTTCTGGAAAAAAATAAATTATGGTGGATATTTCAGTAATAAATTCGAGCGATTGTCTGTTCTTTCATGGGGGACGAATTTATGAGCTATCTTAATGAACTACTCAGAACGATCTTCATTATTTTTTCTTTAAGTAGTGACTTTCTTCTTTGGTGGATCTCCACAGTCTCTCTCTCTCTCTTTCTATATCTCTCTATCTCTATCTAGCTCCATCTCTATGTGGGTCGCCGTACAGGCATCTGGTTCGATGTAGCAGTATGAGACAAGAGGGAGTACGACAAGAAGGACACGTTGGGTGGCTGCGGCGGCAGAGGCCGCCCCGCCGGTTCTTGGACGACGATCTCTCCGGGCGGCGCCGCCGGCGGGCGGAGAGGTAGAAGACGGGAGGCTGCTTGGAATGCCAGCCGGTCTTCACCTCATCTGACAGTGAGCCTGTCCCGCTATCAAAGAGCGGCTCCTGTGGCAACTACCTATACGCCCCCCCTCACGGCACCTCCGTAATTAGATGGCACGGCCGGACATGCCGACACCCGTTTCTCTCTCTATCTCTGCTCTCTCTCTCTCTCTCTCTCTAGAGTTTCTCTATCTGTCCCTGGGGAACAGAGAATATAAAAAGGCAGTGTCGGAGTTGGTCATGTCCCCTCGTATTCCCCCTGGCTTCCCACCGCCTTTGGCCCCTTTGCCCCCACACCCCATCTCTCTCTCTCTCTCTCTCTCTCTCTCGCTGAACGTAGATCTTTCCCAGCCTCTCTTTCTCTCTCTCTCTCTCTAACGACATGGAAGAGATCAACAAAGTCTGCTGCATGTGTGGCGACGTCGGCTTCGCCGATAAGCTCTTCCGATGCTGCCGGTGCTTCTCTCGCGTCCAGCACTCGTACGCCTGCTCCCCCTTCTCTCTCCCCTCCCACCGTCGCCGTCGTTCCTTCTCTTGGTCATCTACGCGAGCTTATCCTCCCTCACTCTGTCTCTCTCAGGTACTGCAGCAGCTTCTACGAGGAGGGCTCGTCGGAGTGCGCGGAACTCTGCGACTGGTGCCGCAGCGAAGAGCGCAGCGCCGCGAGGCATCAGAGCTCGAAGAAGCCGCCGGCGGGGAAGGAGAGGGACGCCACCCGCGGCAAGAGCCGGCTCCCCGCCCGCCCACCCGTCCGCAGGTACAAGCTGCTCAAGGACGTCATCTGCTGAAAGGAGAGAGAAACTAGCGAGAGAGAGAGAGAGAGAGAGAGAGGTAGATAGATAGATAGATAGATAATAGATAGATAGAGAGAGAGAGGTCCCCTCCTTGCCTGTAAATCACCGTGGTTCTCTGTAACTATGTACAGATATAGAAGAAAGCGGAGCTACTTCTTCTCTCCGAAGCGTCAAGACCTTCTCTTTGGGGACGACAGGGGAGTGTTCCTGAGGAACTCCTGGCTCTCCGTGGCGAGCCTACATCGCGACCCGGGATTGCAGTTTCACCCTCCACACGTGTATTTATTGAACTCGTCACTCATTATCCTTCCAGACTTCCACAGCGAGAGAGCGAGAGAGCGAGAGAGCGAGCGAGCGAGAGAAAGAGAGAGAGAGGGTTCAGGGAGCGAACTGTGCCGACAGAAAAAATCAATGACGTAGAGATGGAGGAAGAAAGAGAAAGAGACGTGTTCCAAAATTACTGGTTTACAAAGATGTTCGGATCAGGAGGCTGATGGATGCGCGGGAGGGAGAGAGAGAGAGAGGGAGGAAGACGAGGGGGGCCAGTGGGGGGCCTCCCCCGGCGACCACAAGTCTTCCCACGGCTGCTTCGGCAATAACTATCGCACTGTTCCCGCCACAGGACGAGCTGCTGAAGCCAGTGGAACATCGGCGCTACTTTCCTCCCCCCCCCCACCACCAGCCTCTCCCATGAGTGGAAGAGAGTGGCGACTCGCACCCTCTCTGAGTGACAGAGGGGGTTGGCAAGTGGGTTCATCCTGGGTTGGGTCTGTGTGGTAGGTAGGTAGAGAGAGAGAGAGAGAGGCCTTAGATGCAGCGGACCAGTGGGTATATTTTTTTAAGACCGTCGAACCAATCCTAGCCGTACCCCAGGGGGAGAGAGAGAGAGAGAAGAATTCTGCACGATGACCGAGTTGATAGGCTCGAATCTATTTGTGGATCAGCGGCATGCTTTGAAAAACGACGGAATCTCACATGGGTTTTGCCGTGAATGTCGCCCTATTCAAGTCAATTAATTTAATCGAATTCTTTTTCCTATTTTCCCTATTATTGCTCGCATTTTCCGTCTCAGGAATTATCATCATTTCCATGAATTCTAGATTTTTTGGCTTCAACCCATCACGTGGTCTCATCTTTTGGGCCGGTGACGTAATCAGAGTGGGCCTACCCAACAGAGATTGGGCGTGAAAAGGGTTCATCTGCTGTGGGTGATGGTGATGGTGGTTATTGGGCCGTCAGTAGGCTCTCATCACGTGGTCTCATTACCGTCAGTAGGCTCTCATTACGTAATGATTGCAGTTCATTGATCCAAAAAAAAATCACTATGACGATTTTTTTAAATATACTTATGTTATATTGAAAGGAAGGGTCGTCAATGGGGCAGGTGACTATGAATGATGGCCCAACTTATTTTATTGAATGCGAGACACGAAATCAAGCCCAAAAATAAAAATGAGCCTAGATATAGAGAGAGAGAGAGAGGAGATTGGGGAAAGAGATGAAGATATGTTGTGGCATGGATAGTTATGGAGAAGCCACGTGGCAAGAAAAATGAGGCACTACTCTAAGTTTTTAAGGGGTTTGTAGTCTGAAGTTTAGAGATATAGATACAATATAAGTGAAATATCCAGGTAAAGCATGGCATCATATGAGCGATGAAACAATGTTTTCGTTGCCAAAACTATAAAATAGTTTAAGAATAGGCGCATAGATTTTTACTAAAAAGCCCACGTCGATGCAAGAGAGAAACTAGAAAAGTACGCTTGAGTGGATGGCTGATGAACTTGCCAAGCAGCCTCCAGAAACGGAAGTTCATAGTTTATTCCTCAGATTTGGCTGGGCATCTGTGACTTGTGCGAGTGATGTCTGCTAGCCGTCGGCATATCTCCTCTGAGACCTGTTCAAATAGCTGTCCGTGCCTATCTCACGTCAAGATCGGTCGCCAGCAAAGTAACAGAAGAGAGAGAGAGGGAAGTGTGAAGGGGGGCCAGGGAGAGGACGAAGACAAAAAGGGTAAGGCCAAGGAGAGGCTGTCGGGAAGAAGAAGACGCAGGATGATGGTGACAATCGAGAGAAACGTCCTGCGCGGGCGTGTGAGAACGACGCAGGTTCCCGATGCCGATCCTTAGGAGAAAATCTAAAAGAGGGAGAGAGAGAGAGGCGGCCGCAAGATTTAGCGCTCCAGAGAAAGGAGCTCTGAGGAAGCTTCCTCGCGGAAGGACAGAAGACGAGAGGAAGAGTGTGAAGAATAGCTGACAGTAATCATCAGATGTGTGTCCTCATCTCCTCCGACGGCTCTCATGAAGGTTTCTAGGCCATAACATGAACACTGGGAGTCTACTGTTTGTGGGAAACCCAATCGATATCCGTACTACTTACTCTACCGAAGAAATTACATGCTTGCCCGAGTTTTGCCGACTTCATGTAGATTTCATTTGAAAGAGATAATTAAGCCGTTAATGAATCCAGCCATCGCCTTAAAGCATGGACGCCAGTGAAATACATATCACCTATCAAGATAATATTATATCGATTGAGATAATATAAAAATATGATTTAAAATATACGAGTTCTCTATGTTCATAGCCACTGGGCTTCGAATCCCCTGCTTCTGAATCCTTTACTATGACACTAAGATCTTCTTCTCTCTTCACAGATTCTTGATTCCTAGTCAATTGTCTCGTTTTCGATTAATGCCCCTGATTATTTTATCGACACCAAAATTAATTTTTATCGTCTTAATATTCGAGGTCAGTAAGTTAATGTGCTTTATAGCATATATAGTTAGCATTTTTCATGCAAAATCATTCTAGTCGCTCATTTGCCCGAGCTTTGACGATCCCATGTAGTTTTCAGGCAAAGGACATGATTAAGCTGGTAATCAGTCGGGTTATGGACTAAATCATGAAGAGATAATACCAAGTTTAAGACGACGCGAGGCCATTTGCATTCGATGATGCTCATGGATTGCAGGTCCTTCGTTAATATAATGTGACATTGAAAGAAAAAATTAAATCGGATTATTAAATATACGTATGCCCACTCCTTAAGATCATACAAAATTAATCCAAATCCTATTATTTCGATCCTTTTTTGTGATGGGAAACCATGCCGTAATATTCTTAGCGTTGGATAAGATGACAAGATATTGCGCTTTAAACCCATATCATTTCCGTCGATAATCCCAAATTACGTGGACATTAAATCAGGTGATTAAAATACGCAAGTCCACTCCATTTGCAACTAACTGAATTTAAAGTTATTCATGCATATAACAGTCTTGACATTGAATAAGACAGCAAAGTCTTGAGCACGAAACATGTGGGGTTTAATCCACTCGTAATTAATCTTTTATAAAAAAAATAATTGGATGTTAATGGAATTTTGAGACATATTTAATGAAGTATTTGAATTTTTTTATGTAAACTTGTTCAATTAAAGTTTCGCCATTTTATCCTCACATTTCCGGAAACTTTGAGGAATAGAGGAAACATTGATACCCATAAATCAAATGTATCGCATCTAAGGTTAAATGAGATAAGTCTGATGTGTCTAACATCTTACTTTTACTTGTTAGCGGTGACTAAACCTCGATAGGCCGTCTCCATCCAAGTTCAAACTCGTAAAAGTCGCTACAAATGGGCTTTGAACAAAATTTTGAATGCCCAATGAGACCTGTCGGAGAGAGGGAGAGAGAGAGATGAGATGGCGAATCACTCAGCAGTAAAAAACTTCTAGGCTTTACAGGCCCAGATTGGCCCTGTACGCAGGGTAGATGGCTAGATTAGATTCGACTCGTTTTTCTATATGAGCTTGATTTGTAACTGTAGTTTCTTAAAATTTTGAAGAAAGAAAGATAGAAAGATATATATATATATATATATATAGATATATCTATATATATATATATATATATATATATAGAGAGAGAGAGAGAGAGAGAGAGAGACAGAGAGATCACGTGCGGTAACTATGAGAAGTCACCTCACGGTAAAACTAGTTCTGTGTTTTTGGACCAGACCCGTGTTAGTCAAGATCAGTTTGAACCTATTTTTCTTTATGGACTATATTTCAGCTATGATCTCTCTAAAATCGTACCGTGGCGAGAAGGTTGCGGGCCGCCGTACCAAGCAAGATATTCGATAAACAGGAAAACTCACCACCGACGAGGGATGATTGTTAACTTATTGATCAGTTGCATGTAAACTATGGTGCAACAGTCCAGCGGGTTACATTAATCCGAAAGAAGATACTGAAAACAGAAGATTAGCATTTCGAAGAAGACTCACCACTCAACTACCCAACTATCTCTCTCTCTCTACTCTACTTGGCTGCATATTCAGGCTCGGCATCAGCGTCCCACATGGAGATGGGGAGCCTGTGACTATAAGGCCGGAAGTCCGAAGCGTGGGGAAGCACCGAGTTGGAGGAGGACCTCGAGGAGGGGGAGGACGAGGTGGAGGAGTTGGCGCCGGGGAATCCGTCCGGCTGCGCCAAACACCGCCCCAGAGCCATCCGAGTCGGCGACGGCGGCGTCGCCGCCCCGACGAACTTCCCCAGCGGCGCTCCCTCCGTAGAGGACCCTGACCACGACATACAACGGATGAGACGAGCTCCTTCCTCGAGAACCGGAGAGGCGAGCGAAGCCCGGAAAGGAGAAGGAGGAAGACCCTTACGAACGGCGGCGAAGTTTCCAGCGCTGGCGGCGCTGTGGTTAGGCTGCTGCTGCGGCGGCGGCGGCGGCAGAGAGGCCGTCGGCTGGTGGGTCTTCCTCCTCCGGCGGTTGTGCTCGGCGAGCCGCTTCCGGCAGCTGCGCTTCCCCTGGTCGAACTCCGACAGCACGTGAAACCTGTGCACGAACTCAGTGAGCTCAGGGATGGTCGAATTTATTCCCCAAATAATCAAGCAAATAAAAAAAAGCCCTCCTCCTATGCGCATTCGGTCGACAGTAAATGCTTATTTTTAAAATATACCGCAGACACTCGCACGAACCCTAAGAGCCTTATCACAATTATATATTTTCTCATGCCGTCGAGCAGATAACAAAGACGAAAAAACGAGGTTTCCGTGTATGAAGGAGCAGAGGTCACCTGCTGCACTGTTGGCAGAAGCGCTGGGTGAGGCCGTGGACGACGGCGGCGGCGGCCTTGGAGTGGAACTCGCAGACCTTGTGGCGCCGGTGGTAGTGCTTCGCCCTCGCCAGGTCCGCGCCGCAGCCCTCCGCCTGGCACCGCACGGCGGAGGAGCAGCGGCCGCCGTCACAGCTCGTCGTGCCGAATAGACCGCCACCAGCTGCAGCCGCGGCGGCGGCGGTGCCACCGCTTGACCGCCGGTAGACGTTGCTTCCCAGCCGCATGAGCTCGCCGTCGGGGGTGGAGGAGAAGTAGGTCCTTACGCCGAGGTTCAGCCCAATTCTCATGGGCGGGCCTGCGGGGGGGTCAACGGCGGCGGCGGGCGGCAGAGGGAGGCCATAGCGGTGGAAGGAGTAGTCCTCCGGGGAGGCTACCGCCGCCGGCGGCGGCGGAGGCGCTGGCGACGGGAACGGGGAGAACATGCAAGGAAACTCCAGGCCGCCGCGGTCGTAGAGGGGGAAGATGGGGTGGCGGAGATGGAGGGGCTGGTCCATGGCGGCCCCCTCCTCTGCCGGGGAGAGTAGCATCGCCCCAGGGTTCGTCCATTCGCATTCCAACATACTCTCTCTCTCGCTTTCCCTCTCTCTTTCTCACTAGGTGGCAGGATGGGACGGAGACGTGAGAGAGTAGAGAAAGAACGGGGGATGACGCCTGTCGGAGAGGAAAAAAGACGGCCTTTCTATTCGAACAGGAACCGTGAGGGTGCACTTCCTCTCTACGGGAAGAGTAAATAAGAAGGGAGGGAACCCCGAGAAGACAGTGGAAGGTGGTCAGCTGATGAGAGAGAGACAGAGGGGAGGATCACATAGAGAGAGAGAGAGAGAGAGGGGGAAGATGGGAGGGGATACGGAGAGTCTCCCTTCTCACCAGTATTTATATATGAACTAGTTAACGTGGGTAGGATCCCGGCCGCCTACCGAGAAAGTTCACTGCCGGAGCCCGTACTTCTTCCGGGTCCCCCTTACCGCGCCTGGGGGTATCATTATGGACGCGGCTCATCATTTTTTGTCGGATATTTGGTGGTCTGAACCTATCGATCGAGATTATCGATTATCAAGAGCTGTTGGCTGTGTTCGGCAGAGATTTTCCAAGTATCTGTTGTTTACCAGGAAGGTTCTTTCAGAGGTGTCAACGGGCCCGGGCCCGGAGAAAGACCCCTGACGGGCTGTGAGATAGATATATACATATATATATATATAGAGAGAGAGAGATGGTGGTGGTGGATGAATGAAGAGGCGCATGACAACCCCCCTCATTTCTCTCTCTGGGCTCGACTTCAAAACCCAAGTTATGAAATTCGGGGCGACCCAGACTCCGAACCCATCACATTAACACATTTCTAACCTGTTTTACCCGCTATTTTCGAATCGAATGAATGATTTCGGTTAATTTTGAGGGAGACCGTTGGTTCATTTCTTCTTTCGGCCCGGTGATCTAGAGAGAAACGACGTCACCGGCTGAACCTCCGCTGCAACCGTCAGGGCAACCCGGCTGCACCGGTGAGGGGATTTAATGCATGAAACATGAAACTACATATGAGAGAATCATTGGCGTGGCCTTTTAACGTGTATGTGATTTTTTAGCAGAAATCTCTCCCGTAAATATTTCACAGAATTTAATCGTTTCGTGGGCTCGTTTTTCTCGAGCATCGCTTCATCCGGAGAGAATAAGAAGAAGAGAAGAAGAATCCAGTAGACTGATAGAGGAGATGATCACTCTGAATAGTCCCGCGTTCATGTCTGCCGGATTCCATCCTCAAACCGGAGTGAGAGAGAGAATGGTGGGGGGATTCCTTCTCGATATTCCCAAACGGGCCACAGGAGGCCGTGTGTTTCTTAATGCCTCTTCACCGGAGCCCGTGTTTCACGTCGATTTACGCGAACGAAGCCGGAAGGTGTTTATAGGAAACGATTCTCCAGGATAGAGTTTGGAGAGATGAGCACGAACCAGCGGGGAGCCGAGACGGGCGTCTTCATCATCCTTGGAATCCACAGAGTTGTCTCCCAAATCGCCATTTTGATTGAGATTTCTCAGCCCTTTGTTCCAAGAACGTTCTAGCTTGCACGGAGCCCCCCACGGGCCTGGCCTAGTCCCCGTCCGGAACCCCCCCGGATAGTTGAAGCCTGCTTTCTCTTTCCACGTTGGTTGCCCAAAGATCGTCTCCATCCCTCTCTCTCTCTCTCTCTCTCTCTCTCTCTCTCTCTCTATGATAGTTGCACGCAGAATGCCACCCCCGATGCCTTTTCTTGGGTTTTCCCATATCGGGGCCTAGTGAGAAGCACCCAGTCTGAGGCCGGGCTTGGCGAGGTCCGTCCCGGCCCCATGCCTCTTCTATCTTCGTCTTGTCATCTCTTCCCGTGCATCTACTATAATCAGAGAACTTAACTCACACCCAGTTAATTATGAGCAGGATAAACTCCAAATTTTTGGCCATAATTCTTATTTACTCGTGAGATTATTCAAACGACGACCGTAGTTGCTGGCTCCGGCGAAGGATCATTCAAATGATCCCTCTGGTTTTCGTTTCCGTCCTTTCCCCATCTGAGCAGAACCGCCGAGACCGAAGGACTCTGGCCGGCTTCCCAATCCCAGATCGCGGAGAACGGAACAAAAGGAATAATGTAATCTAAAGTGTTTGTCTGGACGTGCGCGGGAATCGATCGGGAGAGAGGTCTATCAGTCATCCCCCCGTGATCCGATTCCTCAGTTACAGGCTTTCTGCGTGTGCGGAGGGATTCCCACACGCGGAATAATGGAAGGGCTCCCCCCGCCCTTCTTCCTTCCTCCTTCCTTCTTCTGTCTGGCCCGCTTGGCGAGCTCTCCGGCTATGGCTGATAGCTCTTGGATCGGCAGCTTGTAGCGTGGAGCCGCTAGACGATGGGGGGTGTTCTTCCCTCGTCCGTGAACTCGGCGGCGGTAGGTTTCTCTTCCGAGAACTGCGGCTGCTACAAACGGGGGAGGAGCTCCGTTGTCGCGATGGAGATGGACCCCTCCGCGGACGAAAATGGAAAGGATAGTGGCGGAGTAGAGGGCCCTTCGCTAGAAACCCCGAGAAGAGCTACGCCGCTCTCTCCGCTATTATTTACTGCTAAGATCTGTGATTCTGGGGAAGAACTCGACTGATGTCGTCATCCAAGTATCAATTCGGTTACCCCTCTCTCTCTCTCTCTCTCTCTCTGTGACACTCTCTGACGCTCCTCTCTTCTCTCTGACGTACGTGCATCGAAGGTCTCTGACATCAATCGGGCACAAGGTCAGATGCGTACGTGGCTCGGCCGATGAGCACCTGCGGACGATGCACCGCATGCTCCATTCAAGCTCTTGGCCGCCGTCATGGAACTGTCTGTGATGCTTGACCTTCGTCCTCATCTTCTTCCCCCCATTACATTAAGACACCCTTCATCGACTTGGAGATTACTGCATTTGTGCATTGTCATATGTTCCAGACATTAAATGGCCGCGTGGGAGAAACCTACGAGGACGGGACGGCCGCGGCGGAACAAGAACAGCGGCGCGGACCGGGGGGGGAGTGGTGGGGGGGGTGGGCGGTGGCTCCACTGGGAAGACGAAAACGTCATTATTTCCCTATATTAACTTACCATCTTGGGAACGCCGACAGATGCCCGTCAATTGAATAATCGTGTTACCAGTCAGGCTCGGCCTGATTATCTCCTGATATCTACCACGAGGGCGGGGGGCCTAGAGCAAGAACCAAAGCTTAGCCAGAGCTCTACCTGAGAGAGAGAGAGAGAGAGAGAGAGAGAGAGAGAGAGAGAGAGAGAGAGAGAGGTGAGAGACCGGGTAGGATGAGCATACTTTAGATTCAGGGCTTGATCATGAGATTCTAAGTTTCTCCAGCCCTTTTCAGTTCTCTTGAAAGTTGACAACTTAAAATCATTATAACCCGCCCACATAAATCATTCGACGATCAAAAGAGCAGATGCGCATTTTTATTAATAACTAATTATCCCCATGTTTGAAACGTGGTTTAATGGATTCTGGAACTTCCAGGGGGGGTTGTTGAGCTAGAGTTTATTCAGACTGCGTATATTGAACCAGTTCCTTCATTCTCGTAATATTTAACGTCGGTTATTGCTGGGCTCCCTCACAAAACGCACCCGAAATTGGTAAATCAAAGATGGATGAACGGGAGGAAATGAACAACATAGATTTTAGATGAGCCATCACATTATTCGAAAAAGAAAACTTCAGATCAAGATCAAATATTTCCATTTTTCGTGCATAAAACTCTTACCTTGAGCAGTCAGGCTTTTATGTATCAGACCTGTAGCTTTTCCCTATGTTTCCTGGGCAGATAAGGCGATTGCTCATCCGTCCCGTTTCCGAATTTAGAAAACTCTGATAAAAAAGGGGTGAACGCTGCTGAAGGGCGTGGCTCCAGGTGAAGATGAGCCTCTGTCAGAAACCCGGCCACTATTATGATGTGGAACAGTAGTTCTCATGGTTATCACCGAGGCTTGTGAGGCCCATCTGGCAACTACCACCATAAATAAAAAACAAAATATCATCATATAAAAATATTTGTATGTAATAAATTAGTTGTCAATTCTATTTTTATATAGTAAATCACACATACTAGTTTTATTTCTGTGAGATATAGATCTATGCTATTGTATCATAAAAATTAAATAAAATAAATCTTGAAACAAGTTGCCGATTTGTTCATTCACATTGTTCTTTAGTCTTTTTAGAAGGCTGAATGCCACTTCTTGGAATCAAGAAGATGCTTGATCATTTTCTTGAATTTTTATTTGCCACCATTTAATGGAGATGGAAGAAATGAATTCATTGTTAGAGATCGGGCACACTTCTGTACAATGGTGGGTAATAGTTAGAATGGATCCATCTGAGGGTTAGTAATCCTAGTAAGTAAACTTGGCCTAAAAATAAAATAAAATTTAAGCTTCATGAATGAAGAAAGTTGTTGGCCCTTATTAAATGTGACTTACTCAAGAGAAGTAAGAGGTTAGGAGTGTCAAGTGAGGGTTAAGTCAAAGGTAATTGAGTAAATGGCTAGGAGGGAAGAAGGGGGATTATTAAGGCATAAGATGAGAGGAGGAAGGAAGAATGATTGTTTTGTTGTGGACAGTGGCTTTAGATATATATATATATAACTCACTCTAATAGTTTACACACTAAGTCTTCAGCTATAGGGTTTGTCATATAAAATGTAGCTAGTATATTCTCACCTTCTTTATGATAGTTATCTTCTCTTTTCTATCTAGTTGTGCTCTAGGATCTTATCAATTGGTATTAGAGTCGATTCAATGTCATGAAAACTCAATGATAGGAGGATAGAGATATTGGAGAAGGAAGTAGAGGAGATTAGAAAGTAGATGTTGTGACAATTAGAGATGGAGATTCATCCATAGAGGCTGGTAGAAATATAAAAAAATATAGAAGTTTTGACATAAAGCATTGCACATATCATGCATGCAATAGATGAGTTACAACATTCAAATAAATCAACATGATAATTGTAAGCTAAAAGGAAGAATGAATAGGTGAAAAAAGAAGCGAGCATGATAATGAAAAGGTACTAATAGGAAGTGGGCCTCAACTATAAAAAAGAAATCATAGAGTGATGTAGTCCGAGACACAAGTTGAAGTCTTAACTTTGAATTTGGGCCCACTTATCTTAAATTTGGGTCAGAAAGTAAAAAGTATTAAAAAGGGAGCTCACATATGTCACTAGTGGTTTGGAGGTCCAAAAAATAATGTCACTAGTAAGAAGATACTTTATGTCTCTTTCCTTCTAGAAGAGACTTTAATGTGATTTAATTTGTACCTAAGATTTATTCAGGATCTCTAATTGTTAGAGTATGTATCTAAGATCTGCTCAAGATCCTTGACTATGAGAGTCTGTACTTAAGATCTGTTCAGTACATTTACTTATCATAGTCTATTTTAGGTCATTTCAGAGTTAGTAAGAGTATTTTCAAAAGATCTATCTAAAATATTAGTCTGTTAAAGTGTCTTTTTAAGTCATTTCAGAGTTAGTCAAACTTTGTCGCTAGGATATGTCATGATTTTCTTTTTAGGAGCGTTCTAGCTCTTTTTTAGGCCTATATAAAGACACTTGTTGTAACTTGAGGTCTTCACTTTTTAATTAAATCAGTTTTCTTTACTATAAGAATCTTTTCCTCTTGCTTATGGATTCAAGGGTTAAAGACTTTAAATATGTGGATTTAGAGGTTTGTTTTTTCTTCAAGATTAAAGCTTTGTGTATTCAAGCCTAGATCTTGTTTATCTTCTGCATTATTGTTGTGTCAATTGGTATCAAAGCAAGTCAATATTCTAATCAAGGTCCAAAGATGTCACGAGGTAAATCTACTCATATTGGTGATGATAATTCACCTAAAGTTTTCTGTCTCAAAATCAAATTTTATAGTATTTCAACATTGAATAGATTAAAAATTTGATGATACTAGTGAAACCTTGAAATAACTTTTGGCAAGAATAAATAAATTAGAAAGTCATTTATGTCTTTCTCTAGATCATGAAATCAGATGTCCTAAAAAAGTCATTTATGTCGGATCTTCATCAAATACTCATTGTACTTCTAATTTTACAAGTTATAAATTAAGATTTGATGAAGATAATTTTCAAGATTTTTGTACAACGATTAACTTATCATGTTTTAATGGCCATTTGAAGATTGAAGAGTTATTAGATTGGTTAGTTGAACTAATTATTTTTTTTGAGGATATGAAAATTTCTAATGAAAAATAAATAAAGTTATTTGTTTATAAACTAAAGGGTGGAGTCTCTACTTGGTAGGATCAATTATAAACCACATGTATGAAGTTAGGCAAAGAACTTGTACAATCATAAAATAAAATGAAGAAACCATTGAAATTTTATTTTCTTCTCTCAAATTATAAACAAGTGTTATATCAATGGTATCAAAACTATGATGTGACTTATCATTGCATAGTAAATCACGTAAACTTAAAATTTATAACACTAGAAAATATCAAATTTTAGATATTTAAAAGTATTTCTAAAAAGCTAAATCAATTATAATTCAATGAAAGTCTCCAAAAATAGTGGTAATTTTCCAAGTCGATCACAAGGATATAAAATAATATCTAAAAATATTTAGAATTTTTCACAAATAATATAATTTTTTATAAATTTTAGACTAAGAAATGAAAATAAAATATATTTAAAATTCACAAAAGAGGAAAAAAAAGGGGTGCGGATGTCAAGATGATGTCAGCACCCGACGAAAGTAAATCGAGTAAAAACAGAGTTCCACCCGACAATTCTTACGTAAGTGATTATAAATAATTTAATTGATTAAATTAAGATTTTTAAAAACAAAAGAATCGTGATTGAATGAAAAATAATTTGATAAATTTAAATCATACAAATCATCACTAAATGAAGTGAAAATTAAGTTGAAAGCTGGAAAGATAGTATTTCGGCCTCGTGACAGCAATCGTTAGAATTTTATGTGTTCAAGAGGGTCATTGAACGATGTCCACGGTATCAAAGGCTTTCCTTGGACATAGACGACATGGGTATTTGTTGAATGTCTTTTTGAAGTCTAGAAAATGATGATAGAAGTTAAACTAATTAAAAAAAATACTAAAATAAAATTCCAGAATCGCGACGACGATGCTTTGGCGATGCATTGGAATCCTAAATCTTATAGTATCTATGGCCTCGAAGGCTCTCCTTAGACAAAGACGACATGGACAATCTCTAAATCTTCTTGTGAAGTCTAGAGATTAATGAAATGAGTCGTCGAATCATCTCTGACAGCTGTCACCCATTAGAACGGAAAGACAACAACTTTGTAGCTCTCTGGTGACTGTCACTTGATAGAGAGGAGCTGGATAGAGGTGAGGTGCTTCATCCTTAGGTCCACACAACAAGTGGAGGCTCTTTATTGCATCTAATACGCTTTCAGGAGGTTGTGGCTCATCTCTCGATAGATTGTCTTCTTCCCGAGATAGCTTGTTCGTCGATCAATCAGACATGATTTAGTCGATGAATTCATGATCTTTTTATCGTAAATTGTTCAATAATTTTAGTAACAAGACTCTGTGAATCGCATTGACGAGATTTTCGCCAACGATCGAGCAATTCTTGTAACTTAATCTTTCACCGGCGATATGCAGGAAAGTCATGATTTAATCAAATAAAAATATGAGTTTTGACTCTAATAGGATTTGAACCTACACCAGTCACCAACTTGCATGAGAGGGAGGGAAATAAGTACGCAAATACCCTTATAAAATGACGTCATCATGCCACCTCCTAAAATAAGAGGTATTTTAGGTATTAAAATCTTCAAAATCATTCAAGAGAAGGTGTGACCGTCGATTTAGTCTCACATCAATTATATGCCGATTGTTGAGATGCATATATGATAACGTGAGATTTGGGAATCAATGATTCCCTTTCTTATGTGTGTACGATCACTCCTTATCTCCCAACTGACTAGCCATTAGTGACGTGGAAGGAGAGTGGTGCACACTTGTCCCCATCGGTTTATAGCCACTCGAACCCCTACTCGCAGTTCCACCCTGACTATGCTTCCGACCTGCTTGCGAGCTCGATTGGCTAACGGGTCCCCCCTTTTTCTATTATTTATTTATTTATCTCAAAAATAACATTATAAAAATCATATAAATTCGTATAAGATCACATAATTAGTCAAAAATCACATTAACTAACTAAAAATTACTTTTCACAAATTAACATAAATATAAGTCTATTTATTATGAGTTAAGACTAAATTTATATTATTTATTAATTATTAATTCATGATAATGAAGACTTATCAAACTACATATGAGGAAATAGATTAATTTATAAATTATGTTGAAGAATGTTATTATTTATCAAGTTAGAATTCAACTCTTCAACTAGATAGAAGAAGACCTAATATTGTTTCTTTTACATCACATTATTGGCAATTGAATTAAAGTTCTATGAGATCATGTTGAACAAATCCTTCTACCCAAGTCTTTAGTAACAAAAATTCTTATACTCTTAATATTGTTCCTAAATGCTACAAGTGTGGAGAAAATAGATAGAAATTAAATATATGTTCTAAACATGGCACGAGAAACCTTGCAGATTCTGTTGAAGAAGAAATAGAATATAAAAAATCATAAATTGAAGATGAGATAGAAGAAAATTTTATTGAATTAGATTCACAACACCATAACACCTTCAGAATAAGGTGCACTGTGAATTCTAAGGTATGTGATATAATTATTGATAGTGACAATAATGACTCAACCTAATTATCTTGATTTTTTATCACGTAATATCAGAAAAACTCTCACAAGCTATTAATCCACTTCATCTGAATGTGAAATGTACAACATCATATTGATCTTATACTAGAATTAAGCTTGCATAACCTTTCACATTATATGATGACTCTAGAAGAAAATCAAATTCTCCCAAAACAAATTGAAGAGTTATTGAGTAAATGATTAATATGAGAAAAGTATCAGTTCATGCTCTGTGTCTACTCTACTTGTTTTAAATAAAGATAAAAGTTGGTGATGTGTGTCAATAGTAAAACTATCAATAAGATAATAGTTAGGTATAGATTTCAAATTTCACGCCTAGATGACATGTTGGATATGTTTTGTGGTTTTAAAATTTTCTCAAAAGTTAATTTAAAGAGTAGATATCATCAAATCTGAATTTAACTAGGAGATGGGTGAAAAACTATATTTAAAACTAAGGTGGGTCTTTATGAATGGTTGGCCATGCCTCTTGACTTATCCAATGTCCTCAGTACCTTTATGAGAGTGATGAATCAGGTTCTAAAATCTTTTATTAGTAAATTTATTATTATTTATTTTTCTGACATTCTTATTTATAGTACTACAAAAGAAGAACACATTAAACATCTCAAATCAATATTTAAAGTGTTACAACAAAATAAATTATACATTAACTTGAAAAAATATGACTTTATGACTACTAATTTGTTATTCTTAGGATATGTTATAAGTGCAAATGTGATCAAAGTAGATGAAGAAAAGGTCAGAGTTATCAATGATTAATTAACAACAATCACAATTCATCAAGTTCAAAACTTTCATGAGTTGATATCATTTTCTAGAAGATTCATTCAAAATTTTAGCTTAATAATGTTCTTAGTTGTTAAATGTATGAAAAAAATAGTTTTAAATAGATTGATGAACCTAGTAAAAGTTTTACGATGATAAAAGAGAAATTATGTTCTACTCTTGTTTTAGCCCTATCAAATTTCGATAAAGTTTTTGAAGTGGAATGTGATACATCCATAGTTGTCATTAGAGGTGTATTGTGACAAGAGGGTCGGCCAATAGTATTTTTCAGTGAAAAAATTTCTAGGACAAAAAAAAAAATTGACAACATAGAAACTAGAATTTTATGTTGTGGTCCGTATTTTACAAACATGGAAACGTTGTTTGATTCAATGAGAGTTTATTTTATATACTGATGATCAGGCTCTTAAATCAATCAATAGTCAGACTTCTATCAAGAATATATGCTAGATGATCTCTTTCATTCAACGTTTTACTTTCATTATTAAATACAAGTTAAGGAAACTAAATTGAGTTACAAATACTCTTAGTAGAAAAATAACATGTTCAGTAAACCTGCATGTTGAGATCATAGAATTTGATGATCTCAAATAATTATATTCTTACGATGATGATTTTTCTCAATAATATATGATTTGTATGTTAGGAATATCAACTAAATATTTTCACCTATAACATGGTTACTTCTTTTGAAAAACATAATTATGCATTCCTTTCAACTCTGTAAGGAAGAAATTACTATGAAATTTACAATCTTTAGGTTTAGCAAAACACCTTGGTGGAGACAAGATCTTACAATTAATTGAAAAATAGTATCGTTGGCCCAAACTAAAGAAAGGTGTAGAAAATTTTATTCATAAATATCATATTTGTCAAACCTACAAGGGACAAAGTTAAATACTCGATTATTCACTTTATTGTCGATTCCACAATATTCATGCACTAATATTTCTATAGACATTGTATTAAGTCTACCGTAAACATAGAGAGTAGTTGACTTAGTTTTTTTAGTGGTTGATAGATTATCAAAAATAACATATTTCATTACATGTAAAAAGACAAATGATGCAAGTCAAATAATAAATTATTTTTAAAATTATATATATCAAAGATTCTAAATTATTTTTAAATTCGTCTACATAGAATTCTTGAGTCAATTATCTATAACAAAGATTCTAAGTTATATCTCACTTCTAGTGAATTCTTTGAAAAAGGTTTGACACATTTTTAAAAGTCAATAGTACTAGTCACCCATAAATTGACAACCAAATTAGAGTTATGACTATAACTCTTGACAATTTGATTCATTTTATTTCAAGAAAAAAGTCAAAATAATGAGATTATCTTTTTGCTCAAGTAGAGTTTGCTTATAATTTGATGATTAATCATTTAACTAACCAATCTGTATTTTCAGTAGTATATTATTTTTCTCCAAGAATTCTATTTGATTTGTTACAAGTACAAAGATCAGTTGAAACTAATATTACTACAAATAATATGGTAGATCATATCAAAACATTTCATGAAGGTGTGATCACAATCTCACAATAAATTGAAAAAGAAAGAAAATATTTAAAGTTAGAGACAAAGTGATGATGTACCTTTGCAAAGAACATTTTCAACAAGTAGTTACAACAAGTTGAGGCCGAAGAAATATGAACTATATCAAATTTTACGAAAGATTGATGACAATACATACCTCATTGAGCTCCCACCTAACATGACTATTTCATCCACATTCAATATCAGTGACATATATGTGTATTATGATAATTCAAATGAAGACTCGAGGGTGAGTTTTCTTGAAAAAGAGAGACTAATATAGCCCAAGACACAATTTGAAGTCTCAACTTCAAATTTGGGCCCACTTAGCCTAAATTTAGGCTATAAAGTGAAAAGTGTTAAAAAGGGAACCCACATATGTCACAAGTGGGCTAAAGGTCTGAAAATAATATTTTTTTACGACTTTATGTCATTTAACTTTTAGAAGACACTTTGTCTCTTTCCTTCTAGAAGGGACTTTAATGTGATTCAATTTTTTCCTAAAATTTATTCAAAATCTCTAACTGTCAGAGTCTGTTGACAAAACTCCTCATCAACTATATTAACTTGATGTGTCTCGCCATAAATCTGATTCAAATTTTTATACTTCATAGTGTCACCTAAGATCTGCTTAGAATCTCTACTTGTTAGAATTTGTACCCAAGATCTATTCAATATATTTATTTGTCATAGTCTATTCCAGGTCATCTCAAAGTTAAAGTATTTTCAAAATATTTGTCCAAGATCTTAGTCTACCATAGTCTGTTTTAAGTCATTTCAAAGCTAGTCAAACTTTGTACTTAAGATTTGTAAGGATCCTCTTTTTGGGAAAGCCTCACTTCCTTTCTAGGCCTATATAACCTAAGGTCCTTACTCTTTAGTTGAATCATTTTTTTCTACTATGAGAACCTTTCCCTCTTGCTTGTGAATTCAAGCACCCTCTTATAGATTCAAGGGTAAAAGACTTCAAATCTGTAAATTCAGAGGTTGATTTCTTCCCTAAGATTGAAACTTTGTGGATTCAAGTCCAGATCTTATTTATCTTCCATGTTACTATTGCATTATAGAGTGCCCCTAGAATTTAAAGCAAGGATAAACCAAGTTGGCTACCCCTAAATTGAGATTATAGAGAAGTGAACAAAAATTAGACATACTCATATTAAATGGGTAAAATGAAGATAGGTAGATTTTTAGGATTAAATTTATTTACTATGAACATATTAATGGAAAAAGAAAAATTAATGAGAGTAGATATTAACTTTAAAGATGAGGCCCTAGCATGGTTTCATTAGGTAGGCACAAGAGATCTGAAATAGTAGCTAGCAAAAAGTTTTAAATCTTTGCAAATTTAGAGGTTGCATAAGCACTCTTAGATATCAAGCAATATGAGCTTGTGGCATAGTTCAAATGACATTTTGGGATGATCTCATCTATCGAAAACTTATTGGAAGAAATATTGGAAAGCACCTTCATCAAGGTTTGAAATAAGAGATCAAAGTAAAAGTTAGACTTCATAAATCAATCAAGCTTAAACTAATCATGAAAATAATTTAATTAGTAGAACTTTTTTTTGCCAAAAGACCATTTAGAGAATTGAGTGATTCAAAACTAATCAAACCCATTTTTTATAGACCAACCAAGGACTGAGTACATTTAAAAATACTTAAATGACCATCAACAAAGGTATCAATTGGAGTATACTGATAAGTCTTCATTATCATGAGTTAAGAATTAATAAATAATATAGTTTTGGCCTTAACTCATGACAAATAGACTTATATTTATGTTAAATAGTCAAAAGTGATTTTTAATTAATTAATGTAACTTTTTTACTAATTATGTGATTTTATGTGAATTTATATAATTTTATAATCTTATTTTTGAGATTAAAGAAAAAGAAAAGAAAGTAAAAAGATAGAAAAAGGAGGGGACCCATTGGCTAGTCGGGGCGGAGCCGCAAGCAAAGGCTCAAGCGGCTATGGACTAATGAGGGCACATGTGCATCACTCTCCTTCCACATTCACATCACCAATGGTCAGCTGAGTGTGAGGCAAGGAGTGATCATACGCATGAAAAAAAGGGACTTATTGATTCTCAAATCTTATATTGCTATATATTTGTCTCAATGTTTGCCAAATAACCGATGTGGGACTAAATCAGCGATCGCACCTTCTCTAAAATATTTTTGATGATTTTAATATCAAAAATATCTTTTATTTATAACAACAATATACCATAATGACATCACTATATAAGGGTATTCGAGTACTTATTCATTCTCTCTCATGTAGGCAAGTGATCGTGCAGATTCAAATCTTTCTAAAGCTAAAACTCATTTCTTTTTATTTGATTCAATCATGATTTTCTTCCTGATTGCCAGTGAAGGATTAAGTCGTAAAATCACTCAATCATCAATGAAAATCTCGTCAATGCGATTCATAGAGCATCATTATTAAAATTACTTAACAATTCACGATAAAAGGATCATAAATCTATCGAGTAAACCATCTCTGATTGATCAATGAACAAGTCATCATCGAGAAGAGGATGATCTACCGGGAGACGAATCACCACCTCTTGAAAGTGTACCAAATGCGATGTAGAGCCTCTTCTTGTTGTGCAAACCTGAAGATGAAGCTCTCTGACATGCGCCCCACCTCCATCCAACTCATTTTCATCAGGTGACAATCATCAGACAGTCACAAAGTTGTTATTTTTTCACTTTACCAAGTGACAATTGTCGAAAATGATTCGACAAACCATTTTATTGATCTCTAGACTTCACAAGAAGATCTAGAAATTACCTACGTCATCCTTGTTCAAGGAGAGATTTCAAAACTGTAGATGTTGCATGACAATTTTCTCGAATGCTCAAGATTTTGGTGCATTGTTGATACATCGCCATCACGATGTCGAAACTTTATTTTTCTTACTTTCAACTTAATTCTTTCTTCATTGAGTGATTATTTATGCGATATCAACTTTTTAAACTATTCTTTGTTCAATTATAATTTTTCTTACTTTTATAGATCTTAATTTAGCTCATTAAATCATTTTTAATCACTTAGTAAGAATCACCTAGCGGAACTTTATTTTCGCATGATTCATGTTTGTCAAGTGCTAACATCATCATGATGTCCGTACTCTTATTTTGCTTTTTTGTAAATTTTAAATATTTTATTTTTATTTCTTAGTATAAAATTTATAAAAAATCATATTCATTAAAAAAAATTGAAATATTATTTGATATTATATTATATCTCAATGATTGACTTAGAAATTTTTTATTATTTTTAGAACTTTTATTAAATTATAACTGATATATTTATTCAAAAATATTTCTAAATATCTAAAAATTAGAATTTTTTTGTTTTATAAATTTTAAATTTATGTGATTTATTATATAAAGATAGACCAATAGAGATATTTTAGATAGGGAGGGGAGTTAGTAAAAGAGTATGAGTACAAGTTACTAGAGGCAGTTGATGTGACTTACTCATTGTATAGTAAATCACGTAAATTTAAAATTTATAAAACTAGAAAATACAAATTTTCAGATATTTAGAAGTATTTCTGAACAAATATATCAATTATAATTCAATAAACCTTCTTAAAATAGTGGTAATTTTCTAGGTTGATCATAGGGATGTAATATAATATCGGGTAATTATTCAGAATTATTCTCAAAGAATACTATTTTCTATGAATTTTATACTAGAAAATAAAAATAAAATATATTTAAAATTTATGAAAAAGGGAAATAAGGGTGCAAACGTCAGGATGACGTCAATGCCTGGCAAACATGAATTGGACGAAAATAGAGTTCCACCCGGCGATTCTTACGTAAGTAGTTACAGATGATTTAATTGATCAAATTAAGATATGTAAAAGCCGGAAAAATTGTGATTAAATAAAGTATATCTTGGTAAATTTAAATCACACAAATTATCACTAAATGAAGCTGAACGTAAGTTGAAAGCAGAAAAATAAAGTTCCGGCGTCGCAGTGGCGATGCATCGGCAATACGTCGGCGATGCACCGGAATCTTGAGCATTCAGGAGGATCGTCGTGTAGTGTCTATGGCCTTGAAGGCTCTCCTTGGAAATGGATGATGTGGGCAATCTCTAGATCTCCTTGCGAAGTCTAGAGATCAATGTAATGGGTCATCAAATCGTCTCTAGCGGCTGTCACCTGACGAAATGAAAAAATGACGACTTTGTTGCTCTTTGGCGGCTATCACCCGACGGAGAAGAACTAGATGGATGTGGGGCGTGTGTCAGGGAGCTTCATCCTTAGATCTGCACAACAAGAAGAGGCTCTTCATCGCATCCGGTACGCTCTCAAGAAGTGACAACTCGTCTCCCGGCAGATCGTCCTCTTCGCGACGACGGCTTATTCGTCGATCAATCGGAGATCCTTTACTCAATAGATTCACAATCCTTTTATCACGAATTGTTCGACAATTTTAGTAACAATGCTCCGTGAATCACGTTGACAAGATTTTCGCCGATGATCCAATGATTCTGGCGGCTTAATCCTTCACCGGCGATCTATAGGAAAGTCACGATAATCAGGTAAAAAATATAATTTTTGGTTCTAAGAGGATTCGAACCCGTGCCAGTTGTCCCCCTGCATGAGAGAGATTGACATAAGTACTCTAATACTCTTATAAAATGACATCATCATGATATATCTCTATTATAAATAAGAGGTATTGTAGGTATTAAAATCATTGAAGCTTTTTAGGAAAGGTGTGACGCGGGTTTAATCTTACATTGCTTGTGCGTCAAAGTTTCGGGCGAATATATAGTAATATTACATTTGTAATTAAGTCCCTTTCTCCTACGTGTGCAACCACTCCTTGCCCCACAGCCGACTGGTCACCGGTGACATGAAAAAGGAGTGGTGCACACATACCCTTAATGGTCCAAGCCACTCGAGCTTGCTCGCAGCTCCTCCCGACTGTGCTTCCGAGCCGCTTGCGGGCCCGGTTGGCCGGCGGGTCTCCCTTATTTTACTATATTTTTATTTTATTTATTTTTCTTCATTTATCTCAAAAATAAGACTGTAAAAATCATATAAATTCACATAAAATCACATAATTACCCAAAAATTCACATTAATTAACTGAAAACCACTTTTCACACTTTAACACAAATATAAGCCTATTTATCATGAGTAAAGACTAAAACTATATTATTTATTAATTATTAACTCATGATAATGAAGACTTATTGACGTGACTCAGTCGTTGTATATTAAATCACGCAAATCTAAAATTTATAAAACTAGAAAATACGAATTTCCAGATATTTAGAAGTATTTATAAATAAATATATCAATTATAATTCAATAAAAGTTCCAAAAATAGCGGTAATTTCCCAAGTCGATCACAGGGATGTAATATAATATTTTGTAATTATTCAAAGTTTTTCTCAATGAATACGATTTTCTATGAATTTTATACTAGGAAATGAAAAGGAAATATATTTAAAATTCACGAAAAAAAAAGAGGAAATAAGGGTGCGGACGACAGGATGACGTCAGCGCCCGGCGAACGCGAATCGGGCGGAAACAGAGTTCCGCCCGACGATTCTTACGTAAGCGATTACAGACGATTTAATTAATCAAATTAAGATCTGTAAAAGCCGGAAGAATCGTAATTGAACGAAGTATAGTTTGGTAAATTAAAATCACACAAAGTATCACTAAATAAAGCGTAAATTAAATTGAAAGCAGGAAACCAGAGTTCCGGCGTCGCGACGGCGATGCGTCGGCGATGCACCGGAATCCTGAGCGTTCGGGAGGATCGTCGTGCAGTGTCCACGGCCTCGAAGGCTCTCCTTGGACAAAGACGACGTGGGCAATCTCTAGATCTTCTCGCGAAGTCTAGAGATCAATGAAGTGGGTCGTCGAATCGTCTCCGGAGGCTGTCACCCGGCGGAGCGGAAAAACGGCGACTTTGCGGCTCTCCGGCGGCTGTCACCCGACGGAGAGGAGCTGGATGGAGGTGGGGCGCGTGTCAGGGAGCTTCATCCTCAGGTCCGCGTAGCAAGGGGAGGCTCTT